CATAACACTTTAAGGACCACTTATTTTTAGCCCATTATGCTGAAAAATCAAACAAAAAAATTGCAAAATTTTAAAAAGCCCACTAAGCAGGCCCATAACAAAAAACCGAACTAACAAAAATCGAACCAAAATAACATAAACCGAACCTAAATAATAAAAATTAAACCGAATCGAATTATTTTGATTTAGTGTTCGGTACACGTGGTACAAGAACTGAAAACCGAAAAAACCAAAACCGAACCGAATTACTGAATGTCCAGTCCTACTAGTAAATAAGACATTTACAAATTTCAATACTTTTGTACTTTGACATGATCGTCTGGGATATCATGGGTCTACAATGATGAGACAAATTACAGAAAATTAAAATGGACATTCATTAAAAAACCTAAAAATTCATTTCAATGGTGAATTTTCTTGTACTACTTGTTATAAAGGCAAGTTAATTGTGAGACCATCATCAATGGAAGTTGAGATGAGTCCCCTCCGTTCTTGAAATGTATAAATGAGTTTATGGACCTATTCACCTACCTAGTGGGTTGTTTAGATACTTCATGGTCCTAATATATGCTCCTTCTAAATTGTCCCATGTATTGTCATCTCATAACTTGGCATTTACAAAATTATTGGTACTACAAATAATACTATTACATGCACAATTTTCTGATAATCAGATTAGTCCCTTCAGTGATGGGATCACGACTCGCCTCTAGAAAGGATAGAGTGATTGAGAAGAAATAAATTTGAAAATTAATTTTGGAATAGTAAATCTAAATTTTGCTCATTACTAAAATCAAAAGACACATGTCGTGGTAAACTTGGAGTTTACTTATTAGATATATACTGAAGAACCAAAAGATTCTTTAAGAATTCTTTTTGTTGTGTGTTCTCATGATAAGTTGACCGGATCAACTAATGTTAGGATTAAATTCCTAAATTCTGAAAGTATAAAAGATGAACATGGGTCCGCTCACATGTCATGTGATATGTGAAATAGATGCATCTATAAGATAATCACATGTGCTTTTATTGTCAACCTGCAGATTGACATTCACAAGATTGTTATGCAATATAATTGAGTTAAGAGCACAATTTTCAGAATATGTAATCAAGACAATTTATCTTGATAATATTAATAAATATTTAAGTTGATGTGACATTAAATGCCTCAGATAAATAGTCCATCGTCGCTTATGAGAATAAAAGTTTCATGATCTAAAATATAATGTATTGCATAATAAAGTAATTGTATGCATTAGATCAATAAATTATGATCAATTTTTCTCTTAATTGATTTATGGTCAGGGACCAAATATTTTTCGTCTAATAGATTTTGATGTGCGGCATATGATTAATGAATGTACTATGATGCACAAAGATGGATTCTCCTAAATAGATTGAGATGTATGTAAGTTTATCTAACATAAGGGGGAGATAAGAAGTAACCAAAAATTGCAAATGGTCCTATTGAATGTCCCTAAAGGACATGGTCTACTATATGCATGAAGCATGATAAGCAAATTGGTTCTATATAAAATAATCCTTAAAAAATGGAGAGGAGCAAATGATCAAAATATCATATTAAGGAAGCAATGTGCTCTTGAAGAGCCTACGACATAACACTTCATGAAACCTCATGAGAGGGTTATCTACCTGAAAATAATGAAGTCATAAGCTCTCAATAAGTTATGTCGTATTTTAAATCGATACAAAGTGATATTTCTTCGATGATATCTTTGATACAATACAACGCCATATTGTAAAAATTATAAGGGTATGAATTCTATGTCTATTGAAGCATGATGACATATAAATAATTATCAAGTGAAAAGTGGAATGATGCATCTTGGTAAGCGTAAAGTTTATTTGACTTGCAATCTAGACACTAGAAGATATCATGCATTTAATGTTGAATATTGTCACTTGACAAAACTGATATGAAAATTGTTGAATAAATCAAAATGCATGAAGTATATACCAGTTTTTGAAAAACTTGTTTATAATCCTCATAAGGAATAATTCGATCAAGAATTCTTTCGTATTGTTGTGCAAGTTAATAACTTGAATTGAACTCTTGAAGAATTTTCATAAATTGTTTGCTTATAGAAATTGAAGTAAGGAACTTGCAGAATTATTTGATTATGAACGAAAGATTCATAAAAGAAGATAGAAGGAAACACATTTCGTGGTGATATCAAAATGCAACAAGTTTGTTCGAGTAATACTATGGTTGAACTATACCAAGTCTCTACTAAGTACAACTTTCGAGAAGATGGTGCACAATCTTAGAATGAGAAAATTCAAGTTTATTGACTGATGTTCACATTAGGGGGAGTTATTACGCTATGTACTCCTTTTTCCTCACAAGGTTTCGTCTCGTTGAGTTTTTCTTGTAAGGTTTTTAATGAGGCATCCATAATGCGTATTATTATACCAAAATAAAATTTCTTTATTTCTCTCTAACCTCCTTGGGGTGAGTTATGGTATATATTAAATCATACATGAGTATGTCCTCATTTATAATTTTCATCATCTCTTGACACATTCACTTTCAAGAATGGTCGATTTTTCATGATACTTATCACAAGTCACATTCTCTTCAATGAATTGACTATAATCATATATTCATGTTTCATAATTATTACTATTTTTTCATTAAAAGTTCATTGTCATGTTTTGAAAATTATCATATACATATGACATACACATACCTCAACATCACTTTTGAAAGTCCAGTGTATCATCACTTTTTCTTCCTTATCTTTGATGGAGGATTTATAAACTTATCAAATAGTTAGGTCTCATAACAAACATGTTTCTAATTACCTTTCATACCATTTTGATGACAAAAATTACCTTCACTCTTTAAAAGGTCATTTTGAGAACTCATAATGTGCATTCTTTTATAATTATCACAATGATGACTATTATAATTTTTTCCTTCACGTCCATATTCATATGTTTAATCATAAAATTATCTTGTCATCTTTCAAAGTTTTATTGTATTGCTATTACATTCACTTCAAAGAATGAAACATATTCAATGGGACGAACTTCACAATTTTTATCAAGAGCATATCGATTTGCTCAGTCATCATTATATCATCAATATATTGCATTGGAACTTTAACCCAATGTCTTATTTGTATAAAGACATGCAGAGGCGGATTCACGTATATCCTTGAGGGTGTACGTGCACTCGTTAACTTTGGAAAATTATGTATATATACGTGTATATATGTACACCTTGAGATAGACATATATTTTATTAGGCACTCAAAGATACAAAGTCAATTGGGTTAGCTGGTTTAGACGTTGTACTTCATTGAGGAAGGGACTGCGTTCAAATCCTATTTGCTTATTTTCTTGTTTGTTTCTTCGTTTTTAGCTATGAAGTTTAAAAATTTGAATAAAATAAGGGGATAGTTATTTAATTTATTTATACATTAATATCATAGTTTTGTATATTTATGTTTAATAAAATTAACATAGAAACAAGTATTGGGTACATACTTTAACTAACGTGCATTATCGTTGGTGGTGCACCCGTCGTCTTCAAATCCTGGGTTCGCCTCCGATTAGGCGTGTTAGGCCAAAATATGATGGACTTGAACCCAAAATCTTATAATCATGCATGATTCATCAAGATTTGAATCGATATCTTACCCTTTTGGTGCAATGAAACTTGAATCAACCGTCTTACTTCAATCAATGACATTAAATATAGTCCAAAATAAAATTCATCCTTGATCCTTTAAGATATTATTATTTCATTGCTATAGGTACAATTGAATTAAACCATAATATCACTTCAATAGCCATAAAATATTACTTACCACAACTGGATCCCTACGAAGAAATAATGTGGATATCATAGGACTTTAGTATTTTTTGTGAATTTTCATAAGTTTTTCTTTTATTGTACAAATAATCAATATAATTTTTAAAGCAATAAAAATATCTTCATAGAGAGGAATATAAATAAATCAGTATGTATTTAAAAATTAGATTAAATCTTTAAAATCACATTAGAAGAATTTCTTTTGAAAAAACACATAAATCATAGTCCCTGTTAAAGTTAACGAAACCAACTTTTACCATTTTATTATATTTTTTTATTGTGATATAAAATTCGTTAAGAGTCCACTAAATACAATTATTACCATAATTAAGGCATCATAAAATACCTTGCAACACCTGGCCGTTTCAGTACTTTGTTGTAAAGATAATATTACTTTAGCTTTAGATATAACTTTGAAGTGGTGGAATAGACAACTTTAAACTTTAAATTTAAGTAAAAATTATATAAAGCACATAGTATAATAAACAAATTACTTCCTGTCCCTACTCTTTCATAAATTACGAATTTCCCTTCTTTTTTTGTGTTGCGGATACTTTAATATGCGGCCGGATACTTTAATTAAGAAGCTGTAATTATCAGGTTAGTGCGTTAAAAAAGGGATTTTAACAGTTTTATGCGTTAATTAAGGGATTTAAAAATTAACTGCCACAATTCATGCATACGTTTAATGCATCTGCAAATCGTTCAATCTTAAAAACACTACTGAACTAAAATTTCGAATTTCAAATTTTGAAATTTTTATTTCTTGTTTTACGAAAAGCTCTAGAAATTCCAACTTTTTTTTGGTGAAGATTTGTAATGAATATTTCCATCTTGTTAAGGCATTAAGGTATATGGGAAACTGATGTTAGGTACGAGCGATACAAAATTGATGGCATAGTGGTTGGGGAAAATATTTCATTGGTTAATCTCAAATCAACAATTGCAGCAGAATTAAACGTTGATGAATCAATTGTGTGTGTTGAAGGTGGAAAAAGGGACACAAAGGCTCTAAGCATTGTTGAATCGAAAATTTGTGATTCTTATTACATACCAGAAATGGAGGTGAAAAATTATATATCAGATACAAATGTTTCTAATGTGGAAGTGAAGCAATTGTACAAGGATAAGGCAACTCTAATGGCTGTTATGGAAAAATATAAAATTAAGCATAGCTTCAATTTTAGAGTTAAGAGATCTGATAGCAAAAGGTATGTGATACTTCAATCTTATAAAATTATTGACTTTTTAAGATTTATTTGATATCATGTTGATCATGATACACAAATAACGTGTGTATGGTGCAATTGTAGTTGTTAGGTATCATAAGGGTTTCTGCTTGACACTTTAATAATTAAAAAGGATTATTGAAATAATGTTAATAATTGAATTTTGAATGTGCTATCTGATTTGTATATCAAATATATAAAATGAGTCGTCATTGAACTGTGTGCAGATTACAATTTACTAAAAAGCTTTGTAATAATGTATGGTGTACTGTTATTTTATTGCAGCTACGTATTAGTATGTCATTCAGATGCTTGTTGTTGGGAATTGAAGGAGTCCGTTAGGAAAAATACGGACATATTCAAATTGAGATACTTCAATAGTGAACATACATGTCCATTGAGGGATCAGGTATTAAGTAAGGTACAAGCTACTGTTGGGTTTCTTAGTGGTGTGACAGCTCCAAAGTTAGTGAATCATAAAAGAAAACATACTCCAAACGATATAATTGAGGATGTTAGGGCACTATATGGAGTTGAAATTTCTTACCAACAAGCATGGTGTGCAAAAGAACGTGCATTGGAGATGATTAGGGGTAAACTTGCAGACGGATACAAACAAATGTCAAAATACATATATATGTTGAACACTGTGTATCCAAATTCATATATACGTATGCACAAGTC